GGGTTACCTTGTATTTGAAAATTTAACAGTGATTTCTGAGAACCCGTTTTTCGGAGGTAACTTGAATACAAGGTACGTACCTTGTTTTCGGGTTAAGACGGTAGTATGGGCCTCGCCACGCAAAATGAAAAATGAGATGAGTGCATCTTCCCACAGCAAATGCAATGATTCATCCAGGTGGGCAGAATCTGCTCGGAAGAATGTTCCAGAATCTGCTAACTGTTGGCGTGCCAGGAGTGGCTGATATTTCCGTTTCTCTTTCGGGGGGGGGGTGCCTGGTTGATTTCCATCTGGGGCACACCAGGTGCCAACCAAATATAAGCTAGTTGGCTTGCTCCCCTTGGTCGCTATTGGTAGGGCGTTTGGCCATCACGGCTGTGTGGGTGGGTGGGTGGGTGTGGGTTGTGTGGGGTGTATTAGAGAGTGTTGGCCTTAGACATTGCTGTTACGTGATAGGGGTGAAGGAAGTAGATGGGAGGCGCAACTACTGGCAAAATGCTCGGTCTTTGCATTAGCCGAGCCGCCCCCCACCAGCGGCCCCACCCTACTCCCTGACCACGGCCGATTAGGATGGGGCAACCTGCGATGATCCTGGGTATGTCAGAGTCCAAAACCCAAAGGAAGACATGTTGTTCAATTGCAGCCAAAATGAAAGAGATGGGACCGGAAGAAGAAGAAATGAGAATGGAAGAAGAAGAAGAAGATGAACACCAGCAAGAACGAAGTCATTCTCCCCCCATCTCGCCACCATCTTCCGCCTCCAACATCTCTCCCAACTTATTATCTTCTCTATATATTATATTATATTATATTTTACATATATAGTCAAACAGAGCTGCCTGGTAAATCGTAGGGAGAGATGGAGAAGAGGACAACAAACGAGGGGCTGTGACAAACTGTTTCATCGGAGTTTCACCGACTCATCAGGAGGCTGAACCCTCAACTGTCTGCAGAATCCCCTAACTGATTACACTGTAAGTGATAATCCACCTTAACCCCGGCTGTGGTTAAGCATCAATGACTGCCCGACAACTGATACCCCTTTGAGGTGGTGGGGACCACCAACCACTGCCCTCAAGGTATATATATAGCTGCTCGGAGACCGACCTCAGGTATTTAGCAATATACTCGTCAAGGCCGACTCTAACAGCCTGAAGCACATCAGCGATTTGTCCATTAAGACGATACTTCGAGCCATCATGGAACAAGTCGCGGAGGCGATCATCAGGAATGATATCGMMKKCGATATCATTCCTGATGATCGCCTCCGCGACTTGTTCCATGATGGCTCGAAGTATCGTCTTAATGGACAAATCGCTGATGTGCTTCAGGCTGTTAGAGTCGGCCTTGACGAGTATATTGCTAAATACCTGAGGTCGGTTTCTGAGCAGCTTCGGCCGGCCGCTCTAAGCAAATTGCAGCAGTGGCGCTCAGTTGTTCTCACACGTTCCCAAAGCAACATCTCATCCCCCCATAATACTACACGACAACCGCACTCTCTTCACTCAGTGCACAGGGCTTTGAGACACCTTCAACAACACTTTGCTATTGTTCCTGTCGACAAGACCTCACATAACTTAGCAATCTGTTGTAAACATTGGTACCTGGCTCATCTATCTGCTCATTTGGACAGCCCTACCTATGATGTGCCTCTTGAGTCTGTCGCAGATATTCTAGAACATCACGCGCTCTGGAATCATAGGTGGGGATATACACACAAAGACACGCTGCCATATTTGTACTATGCACTTAAAGCACACAAATCGCCCCTTGGGCTTCGCAGTATTGTCGGCGTCACAGAGCGGAATAATCTCTCCCTGCTGCAACGATTTCGATCAACTGCGCCATCTGTTCATGTAGTCCACCATCGACCTCCCCACAAACCCTTGGCCAGTACTACCGTCACTTCTGCCCGCCTTAGCGTTGCACTACAAGGAATCATTGAAACTCTTCGTGAGAAGGATAATGTGTTGTATCAGCAAAGCGGTGTGAGACGGTGTTGGATCGTGCAAGGCGCTGAGGAGGTGATGCTTGATCTCAAACGTAACTCCTCTTCTCTTCGTGACCATGCTCCTCGCACTGTTGATTTCACAACTATGTATACCAATATTCCTCATGACCGTATTTGTCATAATGTTTTAAAAGCGGTCGAGGAAGCCTATACATATGCCTTACAACAGCACACACAGGGGCGCACACATTCTCCTCCCCTTAACATGATTGTTAAAGGGCCCAGTCAAGGGGAGTGGATGGTTGATACCGGACCGAACACCTTGACTCTTTCCCAAATTCTTGAACATCTTCATTTCATTATTACAAACACTTATCTTTATGCAGCGGACGGCACCTTGCGACATCAGTTGATTGGCATCCCGATGGGGACTAATTGTGGTCCGGCGATAGCTAATTTGACGTTGTATTGGGATGAGGCTCGATTTGTTGATGACCTCCAGCGGCGTGATCTTCGCGCAGCTCAACGGTATGCGTTCACATACCGCTTGATCGATGATGTTCTCTCATGGGGACATCTGCCACCACCGTCAGAGCACTATGGCCTTGAATGGAAGGAGACCACAACGCCTGATGGCTCTTGCACATTCTTGGGTGCACGCCTCCAAGTCCGCCCTGACGGCTCCTTGCGTATGAGTGTCTTTGACAAAGCAGCTGAATGGAATTTCCCTGTTAGTCTATCCTAGTGCTACATCTAACGTCCCTGCACACCAGCCGGCGGGAGTGTTTACATGCCAGCTTACTAGGTTTGAGTATGTCTGCAACAACTGGTATGATTTCAAAACTGCAGCAGTGATGCTCACACGTCGCATGCTTTTTCGCGGGCACTCTCCAACAACGCTTGCGAAAGGATGGACTTCCTATATTCGTAAACGTCAACACAGGTACCCTGCACATGTGACCCGCCTCTCCAGCTGGTTCCGCAACATGCTTCGATGGTTTATTCATCACCCACTTTCTCGGGTATGTACACACTGTCCTCGGACTACGCCTGTCACAGCCCCTTCTTCATTATCAGCGCCTGTCACACCTATCACAGCCTCTTCTTCATTACCTGCCACTTCTTCATTACCTGCGTCTGCTGCACATGCGTCCTCATCAGTCTTAGTAACCCCTTCCATGTCGTTTGTAACCCTAGCTGCCCCTTTTTGGTTCGCAGCCTTTTCCTCATCGGCCTTGGTTGCTTCTACGATTGATTTCGCGGGAGCAACTCGACCCGCAGCTGCTGTGTCGCCCTTGGTCTCGGTGTGTTCCTCCATGGCATCCGTGGCCACCGCAGCCGTTGTGTCGCCCTTGGTCTCGGTGTGTTCCTCCATGGCATCCGTGACCACCGCATCTGTTGAGTCGTCCTTGGTCTCGATGCGTTCCTCCATGGCATTTGTGGCCATGCCTGCATTACCACCTGCAGAGTCCCCTCTTCGAGTTTCACCTACGACTGCCCCCCCTGTCTCTGCTTCAGCCACTTCACCACCCCTGACTTCATCCCCCCGTCTTCACCGCCTTTATTTCCCCTGGTTTTATCGCCGTCTGTTACCCACCTTCCGACTACTCTACCACCCCTGTCTTCACCACTCCTACCTCCCCAGGTTTTGTCTCCATCCGTTACCCCTCTTCCTAATCCACAAACCACTTCGTCCACATAGACTTCGTCATCATGTTCTGCCCCTGCAGAAAKCCTACTTCGCCGTCCTAGACGCCGACTTCGACCTACTTCCCAACCTCAGCTTACTTTCCTCCATCTCTGTTCTTGGGCGAAGAAGAACCCGTTCATTCTCCCCACCACGGCCCTCCCCAACATCCCGCCCCCGTCTTTTGCCGCCCCAAGCATCCTTACCACGCCTGCAACGCTCTTCGACTGCAGACCTTTCTGCAACGCRGCAAACACAAAACGGGAGGGATGATGGCGAGGGACCATCTGARGATGAACTTGGCAAGGGGACTGTAGGAGATTCTGTAGAAAATCCGCCTG